GAGGGAAGGGAGCGGGGGAGGATAGATCTAGTGCAAAGATTTCAGTCTTTTACTTTAAGGTTGGTTAAGGCTGGAAAGAAATGCCATCATTTCCTCCTTTCGTGCACATTTTTGAATTGCTCAAGCCCAATATGCATCTAGGCGTCTTTAACTTTTCAATTATTCACCTATGTACTTGCATGGACATCAATTTTTCCTCTTGAATTTCCTAGTTTTTCCAGATATTTTTCTATTAACCAATACAAACCTTTTTGGATGAACATACAAAAAGTATCAAATTCATCAATGATACAAAGAGCTAAGCAGTGATGTCAGTCCAACACTTCGATTGGCAGTGTCAATAACCAACATCATAATAATCGAAGATTCTTCCTGGAGTGATTAATACGATCACATTAATAAGTTATAAAACTTTGATAATAAAACAGAACCTCAAATTTAATTTACCAAATAGTCATCTTCAAATAGTACTTGTAACAAGTAAGGTGCATCAGGTTCTCTCCAAGGAAGTCGATGATATACTAGTTCTGTACCAGCTCTGCTCATCCAAAAACTACACTTCAGAATTCAGATATTGAATCACGCAACATAACATAGGCTAAGTATTGCGAAAAGGAATTCATTTTACAGAAGTGACCTGAGTTCAGTATCTGGTATAGTAACAACTTTACCGTCAACTGTTATCTGCAACAATTAAACATGACCAAGCTTCATAATTTCAATAGTCCATGTGCATTAAACATCCAATTTAACCATTTTCCTTGAGCAATTTACCTGCTTATTTTGAATTCTCTGCAACCAACTGCTTTACAAATTAGTGTCTAAATCTTCAACAATACTGCACAAAAAAATTATTAAATTTTTTGATAAGCTTACCCTTGTAAAGGAGCTGAACTTTTGTACTTTCTGGAGTAGAATTCGATAAGTGTAAGACCTGTAGATTTTGCACAAAAAAGAAAGCCTAAATTATTTTAAGAAAAAAGTTTGTTGGAAAAATAGGTGCATTTTTTGTAAGTATACCAGCATCGATGGGTCGGACAATGTCATGGTAAGTTAATCCGTCATTAAATTCTGGCCAGGGCTCTCCGAAGTACGCCGTCTCCGCCGCTGAAGGCGGCGCAGCTAGTTCTGCTTTCTTCGACATTCCTAAGTCGGGGTCGGGAAAATGTTGCCGGAAGCCACTTACAATGACCTGCGCGTGTATGGCCAAAAATATTTTGTTTTGCTTTAACAAATACTATTATCTCAACTTTTAAACTTAAATATCATTAAGACGCAATTCTAATCTAAAAATAAATTAATGAATTGTTTCTCAAGAATTTAAGTTGCACCGCAAATACGTTACTAATCAAAAATTATTTTCGGAAAAGGTCTAAATATACCCCTCTGCTATAAGAAAAGGTTTAAATATATCTCTCGTTATTATTTGAGTCCAAATATACCCATATATTATACTATTGGTTTAAATTAACTCTTTTTTCCATTAAATTTGTCCAAAATGGAAATCCAATCCTACATGGTACTAACATTCGATGAGGTGGATGTCACGCGGCATGCTACCTCAGCACTCCTAACCCATTTTACCCTCCCTTCTTTTTTTTGTCCACCATTAAATTTTCTTTCCCTCCACCATCATTGTTCTAACATGCCACGTGGCATCCACCTTATCAAATGTAAGTGCTACGTAGGTTGAATGTCCACTTTGGACAAACTTAACGGAATAAGGGTATACTTGAACCAATAATATTACGACAAGAATATATTTGGACCCAAAGTATAATAAGAGGTATATTTAAACCTTTTCTCATGGTACAAAGATATATTTGAGTCTTTTCTGAATTATTTTATATGTAGCTTTATATATTGAATATCCAAATAATTTTGTTTCTGTTATAAATAGAATTCTATTTATGGTGAATGTCCATATTTAGAGAGATTCTAGGGTTTATTACTTGGTGGCTAAGTCACCATCTCCCTATAAATAGAGGGTTCTATTACATTGTAATTCATCCCATATCAATAAGAATTCTCTCTCTCTACTTTTCTCTGTAATACTCTTCTTCTTCTTTTATTATTTCATAACACGTTATCAGCACGAGACTCTAACCAATTGAGTAGAAGATTTGGGATTGAGCATAATGATTGTCAATTATTCCATGAACTTCCTTCATGATTAAATGCTGAATTTAAGGTAAGTATTTTACTGTATTTTTCTCTTTTATTCTATACTTTGATTTTAAATAAAAAGCAAAGACAACAAAGTTTGATTATAACCCTAATGGAGTTTGTAAGAAATTATAACCACCTGAAGTGGTAAAAATTTGTATGTCTTGCCATGATCAAATTCATGTATAATTATGGGCACAAAAAGTGGAAACCTGTCCCATTGAATTTGTTCCATTCTCATTCCTCTAAGAGAATGTGATAGCAGTATGTGATAAGTCTGAAAGAAGACAAAATTATCACTATGAATGTATCAATGGATGTGGACGTGGCAATAGACGAAATTATAATCGTCATCATTGTGATAATGAGAATAATAAGGATTCTCAAAATAATCCCCCACTTTGTGAAAATATTTGTCATCGATTTGACATGAGATTTTATAAAGCACATATAGATGATTATGGTCAATTCATGATGTGAATGCGACAACATCTGATTTATAAATATATATTCATTCTTCAAAGAATATGAACGTGCTAGTGGTAGTGAATATACCGCACTCACCTCTAAAAGGAGGTTTGAGATGATATAAGAAATAATGTCATTATTATGGCATGAATGGTCACTGGTCACGTACCTATTGTACGCCAAAATATTTTGGCATTGTGATTATTAAAAGACAACGGTAATGCAAGAAACAGATCTTGCATATAATTTTGACCACAACCATAATGGTATAACTTTCTCTTTAAAAGAGATATTCACCATATGGGTGTTGATGAATATGTGGTACTACAAAATTAATTGAGAACTCTGCAAGAGCCAATTATACTATTTTGGAGAAACACAATTAATTACCAATAAGGTATTGTGTTGTAGTAAGTCTCAAAGAAACTTATTCAGTTTCCAAAGAATTCGCGAAAGCGGTTGGTCATACTGAGACTATAAATAAAGGAAAGATTTAATATCTTCTATTACTACAACTTGTAGCGGGGTAATATGTATGTGAAAAGCTACCCGCTTTATTCTCCAATTTGTACTACATAAACAAAAGAATACCACAATGAAGTGGATATTTATTGATATAAAAACCCATACATAAACTTGGAGTTTATTCATAATTGCACACATCATGGTGTAAACCTGAAGTTTATCAATATTGATAATTTATCCAGTTGGCATAATTGGTTTAGCCATGTTAATTCAAGTATGATATGCAAAAATAAAGGAGAATTCACATGGGTAAATATTAAAGAACTAGAAAGTTCTTTACGAATTCTCTTACATTGCTTGTTCTCATTAATTAATAGACCAACTAAAATGGGATCGAATCCCATGAATGCTGGAAATATCAAAGGTGAATATGGGCCCATTCACCTGCCATGTATACCACATAAGATGCATCTATGAGATGGTTACATGTGCGATTATTATTAACCCGCAACATGGTGTTTGCGAGGTAACTTGCTCAATAATTTAATTTAGAGCATATTCCAGATTTTTTATTCAAGAAGTTCATCTTGATAAGTTGGTCTACATCACAGCTGGTTTAGCAAAATGATTTATTGAGTGCCTCCACTTAATAGCTAAACAATTGGTTATGAGAACAATGTTATATATATCAGTTTGATATACGTTATATACAAAAGTATATTATTTTTCTCCCCTCACAAGTGGTTCAGCGTCAGGAACCAAATAATTCCATCTTATTATTATTGATGTGTGGTGTATATTATGATTAACACCATAACGCACAAAGATGGGTTCTCAAAGTTGAGAAAACAAGTTAGTTTTTCTAACATGAGGGGGAGACATGATAAACAGTTGAGAAAAGGTTACGTGGAATGAATTATCATTTATACATCTAGATCCTCGAATAAGATAATATGAACTTGAAGTTCATAAAAGGATAATTCAGTTGCAATATATTGCAAAGCATGCCAGACGCATTTGCTGACCCAAAGAAAGTAACTATATTCTCATTGCAAATGCTCCTATTAAGTCCTAGAAGGACAAAGTCTATGGTACGCTTGAAGCGTATAGACAAATCGGTTTCGAATAAACTTCTTGATAAAGAAGATGAGCAAATGATCTAAATAATCATAATAAAGGAGGCAAGTGATCTAGAAGATCACATGACATAACACTTCATAAAATCTCATGAGAGATTCAGGTACCTGAATATATGAATGAAGAGATCTCTATGTTATGTCTTTATGAAAAATAAGGAGGTTGGAACCGATATAAAATGTTTGTCGACGACATCTATAATAGCGCTAAATATATATGAGGATCTTAAGTCTAGAGAAACAATTCAAATAGAATTGGTTTCATATGAAAGACATGTACTTTTGAACATGTAGTTCAAACACTTGAAAGTATAAGTCAATGGTATGTGCAATCGGTTTCCGATATCTTATATGTCTAGCATGACATGAAAACTTGATATGCATCTAAAGTCTATTATATGGCTTATATGACTTAACAATCCCTGAAGGATTTAAGTTGCTTGAAGCATATACAATTCTTGATCTTGAAGTACCACTTCTTCAGTGCAATTTGTGCACAAATGTATCTTGCTATAACTATATGCATGATAATATGATAGCAAGAGTTTTCACCTCTATGTGAAGATATTGAACTGAAGATTCCAACAAGATCATATGAAGACATTATATCTCTATCAAGAATGATGATTCCAAGGTGCAATATATTCATTCAAGTTAATATGGCTGATTTGTTTATCAAATATCTACCAAAGATCTTTTGAAGTGGAATGCAAATTCTCAAGGATGTGAATTGATGCTCTCATCAGGGGGAGTTAATACGCGTTGTACTCTTTTTCCCTTACAAGGTTTTGTCCCACTGGATTTTCCTTGCAAGGTTTTTAACGAGGCAACCAATAAGCGCATTTCTAAACATGTGTACTCTTTTTCCTTTTCTAGAATTTTTTCCCATTGGGTTTTCTTTTAGTTAAGGTTTTAACGAGGCACATTATCTGTTGAATAGACATTCAGGGGGAGTGTTATAAATAGAATTCTATTTATGGAGAATGTCCATATTTAGAGAGATTCTAGGGTTTATTACTTGGTGGCTAAGTCACCATCTCCTTATAAATAGAGGGTTCTATTCCATTGTAATTCATCCCATATCAATAAGAATTCTCTCTCTCTACTTTTCTCTGTAATACTCTTCTTCTTCTTTTATTATTTCATAACAGTTTCAAATTTCTTGTCCCATCGACAACTCCCACTCCCCGAGCTCAGCTTTGCCCTTTTTCCTTGAGGAATGTGTCTTAGGGATAAGGCGATATTGTTACTTCGCAGTGGTTTAGCAAAGCAATGAAAATCTTATCACTTTTGAGTTGTTAACTCTTTTTCTAAGAAAAAGATATTAAAAATATAGCATAATTTGCGAAAAAATAAGAGAGAAAATCCAACTGGTTAGTTTATTTAATGTTCATGTGTTTTGTTTTATAAGCATTCTGTATACGATTGAAATCGGGCTCGTCTACGACATGATAGATCGGGCTCGGAACATGAGGGACCGAAGATCGACCCCAAGTCCCACCGGACAAGAGCCCGAGGTCAGAATGTCTATCTTCGAGAACATTGAGTTCGCGATCCCAGAATCAACCCTGACCCCGAACGAGCTCGAAGAAACATTGTTAGCGTAACCAACAGAAGACCGAAATATTCGTGATCGATCGGATATTACGGAGTGAATCTCGGCACATATCAATAAGGAACCGGCAATCAGAAAATCAAGAGATTTTTACCTTTTATATTGTATCTAAAGTAGGATTCTCTCACTATATAAAGGGAGTCTGATAATTCGTTTAGGACATTGTAACATGCATTCCAAAGCAATACATTATTTTTCTCTTTAGGCTCTTATTCACGGTGTCTTGATACCGATCGAAGTGCATCCATTTCGAGGGTGGCTAACCTCCCAAGATTGTAGCTACTTAATTTGTGTGGTTTGAATTTACTTTATCCTTGTTCATTTCAATTGTAATTGAATTTATCGCTTTGTGTCAAGTTAATCCACGTA